CCGCTGCTACTCACGCTACACCGCCGTCTGAGGTCGTCGGAGGAAGGAGGTGGAGGGTGTCAGCTGGGCAAAAGAAGACTAAGAGGGGGGAAGGGAAAAGATAGGGAATTAGGGCTTCCATCTTCTCTTTTTTTTTTCTATTTCTTTTCTTTTCTCTTGTATTTGTCAAAAAGGAAAATAAGGTTATTAAACCAAAAATAGGCTAAAGACCTTGGAAAATAAGGAATGGGTTTTCCTACACTTTCCCCAAAATTAAAAACCCAATTAAAATCCTAAAAAAAATATTTGGGAAGGGATTTAAGAAAATAACTAAATTCTAAAACTTAAGAGTAAAATCCAAGAGGAAAGATTCAATTTCCAAAACTTTGAATTAATATTTAATTAGAATCTCTCTCCAAAATTTGAAAACTTAATTTACCTTGAACCAATGAACTCGAACTTAAATTCTAATTTACCCAAAATTAGAACCCTGAATTTAGAAAATCCAAGAATTAAATTATCAATTTAGAGGAAACATCCAAAGGCACAATTTAAATCTTAAAATAAACGAGCAAGAGAACGCGGGGTGTTACACATAAGGTCGTGGATGTGGAGTGGTGGTTAACTTCAATTGTTCCACTGTGTAGGTGCTAATAACGTTACCGCAACTACCACTAAGAATTCTACAAGGTGTGACATTGATGATGCACCTAGTGTAGAAAAGATCGTCTTTTTGCTTTTCCAAGGAGTCTTCCTTAGGTTGCACATTGAGAGATATTCTAGCATCTAAAGTGTACTTACATTGTGGACTTACTTCTTCTCTGTAGGAGGTGGTGGCTTCTTGTAACATCTTCCTCGTTGGCTCCATAACTACACAAGTAAAGGTTAGTAATAACAATTATAACTCTCACTCACATCCTTACTTGAGTCTCTCGGCTTACTCTCTCTTTTTGTGGGGGTAACACTTGGTGTGGCGTGAATACCTTTATCTTGAGATGCTAGCTTGATTGCTCGTGGCAAATCGACACTCGAATGTAGCAAGCAACGGTCTAAAGGTAATCAAGACGAAAATGTTACCCAATGATAACAATTGATACTTCCAATGATAAATGAGGGATCAAATGGTAACTGAGGGTATAAGCCACCAAATTAGATGTGGTCTTGGCACAGTGGATGATGATGGTGATTGAAAGAACGAGTAACCAAGTTAGTTGTTGTTCCCTCTATTGGGTTTGTATTGGGAGTACAAACAAAATCTCACATTGGCTACGTAAGGAAATGATCATGGGTATATAAGAGAAGACAATTATCTCTATTAGTATGAGGCCTTTTGGGTGAAACCAAAAGTAAACTCGTGAGGGCTATGCCCAAAGCGGACAATATCATACCATTGAGGAGATACTCGGGATATTTGAGGTACCATTGTCCTTAATAATTTGTATAAGAGTCAAACTCTACTTTCGATCTTGTTTTGAATTACATAGAAAAGAATGGTGGGTATTTTTCTCTACATTTAATAATGTATATGGTTTGCAAAATAGATGTTTTTGGTTTTTGACATGAGATTTATAGTTTTTCGTTGATTCGATCAATGTAAGGACTCGTTGTTTTGGACGTATAATGCTGTAAATCCAGTCTGTAGGTCCGTGTCGTTCGTGGCAAGAAGGTGCTATGTAAGAGTACCACAAAATTGAAGTAAAACGGGAGCTTCCCCGTGCAACCTGAGAGGACAACACCTCGGCGCTGGCCCGAGCGCCAAGGCGCCGCTCGGACCCGAGACAAAGGAGTGGGCAACGCGCTGCCCACCGACGCCTAGGCGTTGGGATTTTGTTTTCTATTTTTTATAGGATTCCAAAAACCGGTCTATTTTGCTATTTAATTCTTATGCATTGTGAATGTATAGTTAATTAGTTATATATGTTGCATAAAGTATGCTATATAGTTTAAAATCCCACCATAGGTTAAGCGTGTTATGCATTATATGGATATAATAGTTATAATGTATGATAACATGATTTATTTTCATAATTGATTAATATAAGTGTTGTATTAATTAGATGAAAATAAAGTTGTATTGAGCATGACATTACTTTAGTAAATACAAATGTTATATCTATGAATGTCATTGATGCATGATTATAGTTTTAATTTCTTTAAATTTAAGTTTGATAAATAAAAATTAAAATCTATAATCAAGAGTGAAGGGATCGAATCCCCAGTGGAAGCAGTTGATCGCTTGTAATTCGATTTTTAGTTTAGAAATTATACATTAGCAGTTTTTAAAACAGAACCGTTTCTATTTTAAACTACAGGTTAAGCCTCCTGAGGAAGAAAATGACTTACGCAATTGAAGAGCGTTGGCAAAACTTCTTCCCCGAGCACGGATCTTGTGACAACACAAACAGAGGTTGCCAAACGCACGATTGAACACCACCACTTAGTAAACTTGCTATCCTCTAGCAATAAGAATCCGGATTTGGGATCATCCTCCTGGAAAGAAAAATGTACACGAAAAACTTGAGATCGTGAGAGAGAGAGATTTGTTGTGCAGGGAATATCAACAACCAACCCAACATAGAGAAAACCCATGTGTTTTAAAGGAAAGAGGGAAGAGAGAGTGAGGGTAACATCCACTCTCCACCTCACCACTTCCCAGCATTGCTTGGGAATGGTAAATTTGTTAATAATATATATATATATATATATATATATATATATATATATATATATTTATTTATTTCTATTTATTTTAATTTAATAAATGAATTAAATAATTAATTAAATTAAAACTATTTTTATTTAATTAATAATTAATTAAATCTTATTTCATTAATTAATTAAATAACATAATTTAATTAAATCACATTTAATTAAATTAATTAATATTTGAATCATATTCAAATATATATATCTCATGACCTATAGTATTTAATATGAATATGATCCACATTAAATTTCTAAGTAAAAAGATTTTCCCTCTATTTTCCCTCTATTTTCCCTCTATTTCTCATCAATTTCATTCACATGTCAGTAAACATCAATACCCTATGTGGTTACTTAACCTTGCTTAAGGGGATACCCTTCATCTGTAAGCCTCGTTGCCTTTGATTAATGAAATCTTTTCCGTGCAAAAATATATATATATAAATCCAATTCATATTTTGTATGACACAATTTAATATAATGTATGATGATACATTATAAAACTATATATTATTCTCTCATAATATATAATTTTATAATGTATCATCATACAATATATTAAACTGTGTCATACAAAATTAACTCAAATTTTCTTTAATTAAATTTGAACAATTCAAATTCCTTCCAAGACTTAATGTTCTTAATTACCCTTTACGAGCTAGCAATGAGACCTAATGGACCTATAGATTAGAAGCTCCAACGTTACGAGATTAATTGGTTAAACTTATTAACCACTTTAATCAACATACGTTAACTACTGGTTACTCCACTAAAAACCCGCAGCGCACTCTTCTCACTATAAAATCTTTCTATGTCCATAGATATCGACCATTAAAGACAAGTCAATCCTTCACAAGTGTTTGTAACCACAGATGGGTCAAATTATCGTTTTATCCCCTGTGTTACATTTTGTACCTTAAGTACCGCTGATCCTCTAATGAACGACCTGATTATGGTCCGACCAATAGCAAGAAGTCTCTCTCAAGCCAGTGAAAGGGTGAGGCCCCTCGTTCAAGTTCTGGAGTCAACACTAAAGGGAACACTTCATCTATTCCCCTAAAATCGGGGAGAGGTGAATTTCATCTTGTAAAGTTATGTTCCCAGCTCCCCACTCGGTCTCGTCCTTAAAATGGTAGGAATGTTGAGTCGGTGACTCGAGCCACTCTCACCCATATAAATTAAAGAACGAGCCCTCACGGGCAAGAGTCTGTAACTCATTCAAAATTGAGAATGAGTTGTCTGGTCATCCTATGAAATAGCAATCTATTAGTCAACGGCTTTACATCTAAAGATTGTCTATTTCACGGTCCGATCTTATATAAACTCATTGTATAGGATACCTACACTCACGTGTCTCCACACAAACGACCTGGATCAGGTCATTTGTAACATTTACAAAGTGGGTCGTATCTATAGTATTTCCAAGATAAAGTACCAAATCTTATCCATATACTATAGACCCTTTAGGTTATTCCCAGGACATTATCCACTTGTATATCGAGGGTATATCAAATATGTACCTAGTATATATACTCTCCCGGTTACATGAAAATAACCTTGGATGTTTAGTTTATTAGATTTGAACAATGCAATGCTATAAATTCAACAACAAATTGATTGAATATGAAACCATAACTTTTATTTTTACATAATTACAAACTACGAGTTTAGGGCAACACACCCAACAAAGAGTTGCATGCAAACCTAGGTCTTTAATAATTAATTTTAAAGAGGTTTAAAATTGATTAAACCTTAGGTTATATACTTTTTACTTTCGGTTTTAAATAGGTTTAAAATGATGAAATAAAAGGTTAATATAAAATATTGCCTATAAGTGAACCCTGTCTAAGGAAGATTCTGTCTAGGTTGAGGTACTTAAGCTGACCGTAAGGGAATACCTCTACCTAGGAACCGATCTGGGGGTTGAATTAGTCAATATTTTATAGCATACAATAATGTGGTTAGTTCATTAAAGTGTTTAATGAACTAAAATGTTAGTGTTAAATAAATCCAATATAAAAGTTATATTGGGCAAACTAATA